AGAGGAGGGTGGTTGGTTAGTTGTTTAATTGATTGATAGGGGGAAGAGGAGGGTGGTTGGGTAGTTGTTTAATTGATTGATAGGGGGAAGAGGAGGGTGGTTGGGTAGTTGTTTAATTGATTGATAGGGGGAAGAGGAGGGTGGTTGGGTAGTTGTTTAACTGATTGATAGGGGGAAGAGGAGGGTGGTTGGGTAGTTGTTTAATTGATTGATAGGGGGAAGAGGAGGGTGGTTGGGTAGTTGTTTAATTGATTGATAGGGGGAAGAGGAGGGTGGTTGGGTAGTTGTTTAATTGATTGATTCATTTATAGGTTGATGGACTATCTGTTTGATTCTCTTTTACGATGTCCATATATGGATGTGCATTTCCTGGGTCACAGATGAACATAAAGAAGACCTCTCATGTAAGCTTAATTCATTATGTATATAATGCAATGTTAATAAGCATGGTCATCCGTGCATAGCACTGGGTTCGAATATTCATGCTCGCAGTTAAAAATTTATTTTCAGTTAAGTTTCAGCCCAAATTTTCTAAGTTCTTCTACACATAATAAGTACATGAGAGGCCTTGTGTATCAGAGCGTGACGTACAAATGGTTCTTTTCTTTGATTGGCTGAATACCTGATTGACAACAGTTACTTACAGTTCAAATATCGATTTCATGAGACTTTTATTTAAGACCATTAAATTATCGTCCAGATATTGTAACAGAGGGCTGATTGCCTGGGAACAAAAACACGTTAGTGCAGAGTCTAGAGCTGKTGTTCTAGATGATCTTAGATTAAATTAGATCTACCTCATCTGTAGCTTTCGAACTGTGTTCCAACGACAACTGAACAACAAACTTTTTCACGTCTACTGCCATCTGAAATCAATCAATCAATCAATCAATCAATCAATCAATCAATCAATCAATCAAATCATTCGATGTATTAATATACCAATCAATGAGGTTAGAAAACATGTGATGTCAGGCGTTATTTTTAAAACACACGACAAATCATAGATGTCCAAACCTTTTGTCCGATGTGTTCAATAATGGCTACAATCTTGTTCAACATGTCCTCGTCTGCACTGTTTACAACGCTAGTGATGGACGAGTGGACGTGATTCGCACCTTTTTCACCATGAACCTTCTTCATGGCAGCAACTACAGTATTGAGTTCCATCATGTCGGGCAGACTGGCTAGCCATGTACGAATATACTCAATGTYGTTCAAAGTGACACATAGCTTAACAAAAAACACACAATCAACATTTGACTCAAGTTATTGGTCGCTAATCATTTCTTTTTATAATGCTCGTAATAGCGAGGTTTTGCAATGTGTTCGTCATAGCGTCATTCTGAAAACTACCCCGCTGAACYCAAACGATATWCCCATACCTCATCGACAACATCAAACTGTGTGGACTCGTTGTTATAGTAATTCTCTTGGATCATTTTCTCGAAGACTAAATCAGCATAATGCAAGGCACTGCTGCAAATCATCTGATAAAAGAATAGTTTTCTTATAGTCATCATAGCCTTAGTGATTATGACATGGGTCTTTTTTATTGGTTATCTGGATAGAATGCTACAGTCAATGTTGGAATTCCCATCATTCCAACGCCTAGAAGAGGAGATTTNAATGATGATAATTGGACACCTCCAGCATTGCTCAAGAAAAAAAACCGAAAAGAATAAAACAGGAAAAGACTGAAAAGAAAAACAACAAATAAGCATGCACTTAATTTATATCCACTTTCTTCAGCGCCACGAGATACTCACGCCATATTATAATTGTGCATACAAGTCTGTCTGCTGTACTTACACTGATGATCTGTGTTACGTACATGTAGGAACCTACAGCATCTGGCCAGTCAAGCTTCACCCAAAACTCACGAATCTTAAAAAACACCAGATGCATTAAGATATCGTGTGCAACAAGTCATGGCGGGAAAGTCCTAGCAGTTTTGTATGTTTGTTAAAATGGTCTCTAAAGGTCCATCCTCGGGAACCCAGGAGTAATCTTCTGAACGACAGAAGATTACCCCTGGGTTTCCGAGGATGCTAAAGGTCAAGTTGTGTCTTACAGGAACACAAAACAGGCAAATTCATCATTATTGGAATATTTAGCGGACATAAAGAGTGCGAGAACTAGATCTCCCATCATGCTTTGCTATAGATAATGACGTCATTGCACATGTACTATTGTCATTATACCATGGAAAATGAATACACTAATAAAGCAGTACTATGGAGCAAGTCYACAAGTCTCTCTCCCTTGCCTCACAGAAGTCTTCGGTAACGTTTAGGAATAGCGTTCATTCGTGAAATTTCGTAATCGCAGTAAATGCAGAAAGTGTCTCAAGTCTACCTTGTTCTAGTTTCAAATAAGACACAGGAATCCCAAAGCTAAAGAGGGCTTACTAAAGAGATGATGTAGTCTTAAGATCCAATCCTATTGGACCCTAACAAGTCAATAGAAACCAAAGAAACCAAAGTTTTTAAGACACACTGTGCAAAGATAGTAGAACCAAAGACACACTAAATGATCCCACTTAAAGCGGTGGCTTCCTATTCTACGGTCAGCGTCCTCTATCCCATAATACTTACTTGGTGAAAGCATCCTGTACAATCTATCGCAGACGTCGAGTACATAACACTAGGATCGACACTCACGAACTAAAAACACAAACAACACGTTAGAACTCCATAGATAACCTCACCACGAGCAAACATCACAACACGTTAGAACTCCATAGATAACCTCACCACGAGCAAACATCACAACACGTTAGAACTCCATAGATAACCTCACCACGAGCAAACACTGACCTTGTCAACTGCAATAGCTTTCTTTATTCGGTGTTTGGCTTTAGCTTGTGCGATATCAAACCATCGTAGAACTACTGTCTTGAACCAAAGGTGAAAATCATCGAGACCAAATGTATGCTCATCACTAATTCAGAAATACATTCACTTAATTAACACACATTGTACATTACATATGATAAGGGATTTATTACATATAAAAACAGAAATATCTCGAAACAACCTACCCTTCTCCATGCACACATAAACAACAAAACAAAAAAACAAAACAAAACAACACAAAACACAAAACAAAACACAAAACGCCAAACAAAACACAAAACAAAACAAAAGTTTATACAGATGAATACCTGATGTTTGCGTGTTTGCGATAACTCATCAGTTCTCTAATAGCGAGATAAAGAGCGAACAATTTTTCCCCCACTATATCCCCCTCGTCTTTGTTTTTGATGCTCTGCTTTAATGATTCCAAGAAAATTCTGAGATCGTTGGCCAACTGGAAAGAAAGATAAACGAATGAATAATCGAATAAAACAGGAATAGCCGGGACATTTCGTACGGTATTAGTATTGCTAGGGTAATCATGATTGGTGCACTAACCATCAGTTCCAGTTGACAATACGTCACGGTGAAGTAATCCACTCCAACTCTGAAATTACACACAAAAAAAAGTCATGGCAATGATGACAACATTAATCACAACGAATTACTCACAAGCGAAACACTTTATGATAGAATTTAAGTCCCTTCAGAGTGTCAGTCATGACAGCTTCGCTGATGTTAACAATAAACGCCAGTTTGGCCTCGTGTGTCTAAGAAAAACAATAATGTTAATAAGAGAGTAATAACGATTTATCTAGCATTTCAGTAGTTCGGGGTTTAGGCAGCTATTTGACATGAAGCCCGCCAGATTCTATTCCCAGTATTGTGATCGTTCCTTTTGAGAGAAAGCGAGGAGCAAGGAATGGATTTCTTCTCATGTTCATTCATTTCTATTTCCCACGCTACGTTCTTAACAGTCTTTGATATGAATGATATAGCAGAAGAACTCTCTTGAGCCAACCATATGCTGACCGTTCGTATAAAAATTGCAAGCAAGTGATCTGTGTAATGTCGGAGCAAGTGAAAAAGGGTCAGAGGGAATCAATTGCAAAACAGATATTTTGTCTCGATCTTCCCGAGGGAAGTACCACACGTTATCTATGCATGACAAGATGTAAAAGACGTTGTGCTGCTAGGGAGAACAGCCATGTGAGGGTTTTGTAGGGGAATGATGTTTGTAAATATCTTACAGATTCCCTGGGTTCAAGCCATGCATGTGTCTTGTCATACCAGACYGACGCTGATTCCTGCCAAAGAAAAATACTTTACTGACTGAAGCCTTTCTATRATAGCAGGTTAAGTCCGGGGGGGACTACAGTGCTGCATGCACCTTAATAACCGGGTTATTATTAATAATACTAGGTTAAGTCCAGGTGAGACCACAGTGATGTGCCTTAATAACCAGGTTAACTGGGTTAATACCAAGTTAAATTCGGGGGGGGATGACTACAGTGTCTTACCTTAATAACTTGACTGATTGATAGAGACATCGGTTTTTTGTCATCAATGCTGCTAAAGGCATCCATCTCTTTTACGGCATGTAAACATCTGCAATAAACGATCAATGTGTACTATTTGCCATACAGACAGAAAATACTTGACAAAGGAGAGGTTACAGTATCTATGTAGACTAGAGAGTTATTAGCAGTACTGTACTACGGTCTCTATGTGTAAATGGCATGGAATCTAGCAAAATTTATGCCAACAACTGAAAATTTGCTAAAAATTGTCCTAAATTTKTCTTTYCAAYGYGTTCACCRAGATGCCTGTTATAAAGAGTCATAAAGGGGTGAATCTTACTCTGTAAGGTTGACAAGTCGACCAAATCGTCCTTTGTCCGTAGGAGGATAAAGATCCCGATGTTTGAGTACTAACTGAAGACAATTGTCTACAAACTGCTGTAGGCTTTGTCGAAGAGCTCGTTCCTGTAAAACATACAGCTGTTAGATGTATTTTATATTATTATGGCAAACTACAACATTCGATCGTTTACTGGTGTTAAGTCGTCCAACATTTCTCCTATTTGTGTCTGAGGTTTTACTTTCGTGMAAGAATAATCTGAGGTCGAATGGACTATCAACTTATAACGACACCGACATTTTTTCAACTATTTTCGCCTGATTCGATGAGACCATGGTCTATAATGAATACACAATAGTTCAGTAGCCAATCAGAATGCTGGATTTGTAACACCCATACAGTTTGGAAGATACTAATGCAGTTTAGCGTTAGCGCCTTGAGGAATCGTCCTTCATCGCTCGATGGATCTGTTTTGTACTACAAATAGTTTGTTGAYAATGTACCTCTCTGTCTGACAATCGACCTGGTGTCCACTGCTTAGCGAGTTTGTGCGCTAAAACACAAAGTGTATCGTACTGTAGAGGGTTCGTCCAGTGGAATTCACTGTAGAATCTCCATCGTCTGAATATGAGAAAAAGTTATCTTATTGTTTTGATTATCAACCGCACTTTAGACGAAAGTAAAGAAAAAACTGACTGAACAACAGTCAATAAAAATAAACCACATATACTTCAAAAGCATCATGTCACACAGTGCCTAGCTAGTGCATTTCACGGAAGGGTGCACAAAAATGGAAATGGATTCAAATTGACAATTTCACTGCTCGACTAGATAGAAAAATATGGGATAAATGGGTCTTTTGAAAAACGGACTTTAGAAATGAACAGATGCACCATAGACCGGTTGTATTCATTTTTACGTATAAACCCATAAACTACACTCATTTTAAGATGATGCTTGCATGTCACATGCCTCTCCTTCTCATCAAATGTTTGTTTTTGTTTTTTGTTTACATTGGCGGAGGTCCTCCTCCGCTCTCGCTTGTCCACAGCCTAGGATGATTCCAACATAAGCCGAGGCAGCACAAGGAAGACAAGGATAGAGAGTGAATRCAGTGTACTTACATTGCTGCTTCTTGTAGAGGAGTCAGGTCATTCTGAATGGCCAACTGGTGAAGAATGTACTCGGCTGGGACTGATAATAGGTCGTCTGTCTTTAATGAACAAATCAATGACGGTCACATTGAGAGTATGGATATCGCTGGGAAAAATATAGCGCATACTGGAACATTCGCACCCATAGTAGAAAGCATTCAGTTTCATAAAATATAAGCATTTGTTAGAGCATTCAAGATTGTTTTCATCTACTTGTGTTTCTTGTTTTTAACTCAAAACGGCCACTAGTGTTGCCAAAGTTTATGCTACAATCTTGGACATAAATACTTGACAATTGTTCGACATCAATACCGTATTTCACTGGAAAAAATCGCGCACTTTAAAGATTGTAAATTTGATGTAAATATGATGTAAGTGTCCAAAATTCTGTAAATTTGATGTAAATGATTTCCATTAAATTTACATCAATTTGGACACTTACATCATATTTACATCAAATTTACAACCTTTAAAGCGCGCGATTTTTTCCAGTGTTTACTCGAATAGACGCCTCCCCTGAATAGACGCCACCCTCAAATAGACGCCGCAACCAGATGCGGCGTCAATTTGAGGAATTAATGATACCAGCAATGGAATTTATTTTGTTTTAGAGCACTTTTCATTTCGAAGTGACTGTGATTTTTGCTCTCAGCAGCTGTTAGATTCCGACCACCAGGAGAACATTAATGTTGAAATAGAAGTTTAACTCTGTTAAAATCATAAATTGAATAGAMAARATGAACACGAAATTCATATATTGAGATTCGTTACTGTTCGTTAGTAAAAAGATACAATATAAAGTACTGTATGTAGTACTGAACAAAGTGTCTTTTTAATAAACGCCGCCCTCGAATAAACGCAGCAGCTGGATCGTGAAAAATGAAATATACGCCGCGGCGTCTATTCGAGTAAATACGGTATTTGCTGKGTAGCGAAACAATATGAGTGAGACTGGTATGATTTTAAATCCTCGCGACTGAATTTTATAATATTGTTGAATTCAGTCCACTAACCATTTTTGCTGCCTCGACGTCATAGCGGACAAATTCCAGCAGAAGAGCCGCATAGAGGTCTGGGAAGAATGAATACAAATTCTGTACATCGCTATGGAACTCAGGTCGCTGAAATCAACAAACACAGCAAGAATCAAGAAGACTCCTTAATGACCCTTAGTTCGAATATATTAACTTGCAGTGGAGCGGACCCCTATGAAACATGTAGCTATGAAGACTAAACTAGAACCACTTTGTGGAAYACACCGTGTCCAGCTTTGCTCCCCGGATTTCCTATTTGTCGCTCAGACTAGCCCGCCATCGAAAAAAGCTTTTATATCTTAAAARCCATTTTAAGTTGCACTGTGTTGCGAGTCTAGCATACGATATTGAATAAGTAAACAACTAGAACAAGAATATTTTACAGTTCAAAGAAAAAAAGAAAAAGTAAAGAATTCTTTTAGACGAATCCGCGTGATASTCCGTTTGACGTCGCTATTCGATCGTGTACGGAAAAATCTCGAAAATAATAAATATGCACAGAAAAAGAATAAACATTTCTAGAARAAGTATATTTTAGTTAAAAAATAATGAAAGAAAATAATTGTTTTAGGGGTTCACGAGTCGTTGATCGAAGCCGCGATCATCAGTTAGTTAAAATATGACATGAAAAAAAATAATAATAACCCTCCATATTGCCCCGAAGTGCGTTTGATATTGTTCACATCAATTCTATCTTTTAACTATCATTACTWTGGAATTCAAAATATTTTCCCGCTCCAGAAAATGTTCTTGAATAATAAAAACAATAGAGCAGTTGAAATCTCGAGTATTAAGCTGTGATAGTTGCCCTTGGAAACTGAATGTTCATCAAAATTCATAGTCATCCACGAATTGCGTTCTCGAGCAACTATTATTTGTTTTTTAGAACAACCACAGCGAAATGCCCTCCAATCAACTACTCTATCAATGTTTAATCACAAAACCAAGAGATCAATCGACTTCACGAGACGAGTTTACAAAAATCATGAACGTAATGTTACAAATTCGTTTCATTTTACTAAATGTGTTCAGCTCAATCAAAGGTATCATATCTTGAAACCTCATCCCATTTCGCTTTGTTAATGACCCCATTAAAGTGCCAGCAAGAATATTTCAAATTGAAAACGTCTGTTCCATTTCGATATCTGATCTCATTTGTGTCATATTTATGTTTTATATTTCATTGGGAATTGCTCTATTTAAAGTTAGACCAATGAAGAAACGAATCTGCTTTTAATTAATTCAGGCATCTGGAAACTTAAGAGAACACTTACTTTTATTTCTTGTTTTCGTTTTCGTCTATTACATTTATTTATAAGAATAATATTCAAAAGAAACAGCCCACACAACTTAAACATTGAACACGTCATGTCATTGTTTCTATCTGGACGAGTTGTTCACAGATTTCCGTAAACCGATGTTAACTATCGTGTTTGTCGTGACGAATATGATTAAGTAAACGGCGACTAAAGGAAGGCTTAGTTAGAATGCTTGTTGTTGTTGTTGTTGTTGTTTTGTCGATAAAATTAAAAACCTCCAAGTTAAGTCATAAAATTAGTCTAATGGACAAGCCGTCGAGAAAACATTTMGTTTTTGGTTAATGTTGTCAGGATAAACAGATAACGTCTGTTGCTACGGAAACAAAACACAGAGCAAATTCTTGAAAATGATCATATTCATCACTGATATTTGTTCAAGAGCGTTCTTGAAATAACGCAATTGAAATTATAAGAGTTGTTAAAATCGAAACTTTTTTCAAAACAAATTCTGTTATCCTCATCGGCCCCCTGCAATCTAAACCATTAATCAATAAAATTAGCGAAAGACGTAAAAAGCAATAAGAATCGGTTAACAAGAATGAGCGCCCCTCATGAAGCCAAGGTACACACCCTCCCCTCCCCCGCTCTACTAATGCCAAGGTAACATCACAAACCACCTGTCATCTTATTTACTTATATAAACTTTTTTCTGGAATTTATTTTACATTTTTGACCATTTTCAGAATTTTTTCTCCTTTTTTGAAGACCAATAACAATTCTTATTATATGTGATTTCAGTTCTTTCACTTTTCCAGTTTACCTTGTTCAAATAAAGGCCTATTATTACTCCTGCCATTTGTCATCATTCAATCACAAAGTTTTCTATTTTTGGAGTTTTGTTTCTATTTTTGCATTGTTGTTACTAATTTTAGAGGATATTTGCATAGGTGGGCGTACAGYGAATACATGGTACAATATAAACCAATGGACAGTCTTATTMTCGTCACAGAAAAACGCAAACCGTAATCGACACTCTTTTCGTCWATTCCTTTTGTTTCTTTTTTATAGAAAGACTACCGTAAGGTAAGCGGTCTTACACAAATACCATAGACATTTAGTTTAGAAAAGCCATCTMATCCACTCTTACTGACKGTATTTTTGCGAAGTCCATACATTTTGTGCTAAAGCAGCACTTTTTATGCCTCAGTTGTATTTTTTTKTGTGTGTAATATATGATATTTAACGCTTCTAAAATCTCATTTCCAGATTATTTTTTCACGAGTGTATCAACTTCAAAATGTAAAAGAAAATATATGAAGTAAAAAAAAAGAAAAACGAATACAAGGAATGGAAAAGATACAGAAAAGAGATGAAAAAGAAAGTAATACAAAGTAAAAAAAAACAATTCCAGAAAGGTTAACATTGATAACGAAGTAAAATCAATATAAAAACTTAAAGCTTTTCGTCTAAACTTTACTTTACGCTCAAKGCATCCATGCATGTATTTTCGAATTGCTGCGTTATAGAGTGATCAAAAACGAACAGATTGCTTTTACGTAACTGACCAGCGTTTCCGTGGAAAATGAGCAATCAGAACAGTTTACGTAACAATGACTTGCACGATAGTTACACGAGTCCTTCCTCAAAATCATCYACTAATGATTTCTTAAAGAAAGACCCGGTACATCCAATAACCTTGGCGCGATTTTCTCACATTGTCTTTTTATTTTGAACCAATCAGAAAGAAACTTTAGACAATAGATCTTTTTTAAAAGAAAACAAATGAMTGCAAAGGATCTCGGGTGCAAATGGGCCTTGGTTTAATACGTCCTAGTTTACCGCTACTTTCCACCATTTTTAATATGTCCTCGTCAATCTCGATAAGCGTTCCATGTGCTTAGGCTGCAGTGCGTCTCATTCGAACAAAATTGATTATYTAATTACACCCAGTCTACCCACACATCACCGGGGCTTCGAAGGCGTCAATGAACTGTTATTGATTATTGATTTCACAGCTGCTATCCATGGAAACTAACTGGACTTTCAAGTTAAAACTGTTCAAGATATCATTTTTTCTAAAATTCTCCCGAACTTCGTCAGGTAAAAGAGCTATTAACCATCAAAATAACAATTACTATGACGAAATGGCATGTAAAATAATCTTTCAGTTTGTCAATTCTGACTGATTTTGAAAGTTTATTGGTGATGACTATATTAATATGAAAAGTAATAGCTCCAGCCATAATCTTGATTATCATCTGTATAAATCTCAATCTTTTTTTTTTTTCGCAGATTTGCACGATTCGCGATATCCAATTCAGTGCACAGAATCACACACAACAACATCAAGAAATACCACAAATACAATAGGTACTACAACGAAAAAAAATCAAAACTTAAAAATCATATCATAAAACCATACCATAAGACAAACACCACACTGAAATAACGACTCCATAACAACTGTATGTCATGGACGACTCTATAACAACTGTAAATTCTCTTTTTCAGACACAAATGGAATTAAACGTAAAGTTCCTACAGAAAAGGATGAATGATGTCAGAATCAACATTGAAATAAGCAATGTCATTCATTCAACATCAAAATGCTCTATAATATCTTGTTTGCTTTCCGTAATATGAAGATTCATTTCAAGAAGAAATGGTTTTAAAGAGTAATCGATGGTGCACGTAATATAGACGTCAAAGAATATGGCGTAAATGCTATATTTGTGATCGTAATTTAGAGATTACCAGGGCCGTAGCTAGTAAGAGGCCAACCGAGGCACTCGCCTCGGTAAAATTTTGCCGATGCTTTTTGTTCTTCATCACTAATATCATCTTAGCTTCTCAGAGCCGATTTCGCACGACTGATTTTGTGCAAAAAATATAAAAATAATGTTATTTTTGTACGTAATTTTGTACGTTTAGCTTCTTTGTTTCATAAATATTGCATGATGAATTCCGGTTAAATCTGTTCAATAAAGAGTTACCAAAAGGCCCACAAAGCGCTGCAACTTGCATTTCCGAGAGACTGAATTTCAAATTTTCTAGGGGGAGAATGCCCCCAGACCCCCTAGTTTCTCGCGCTATCGGCGGCCGCTTGCCTCGGTTGTCCATTCACCCTGGCTACGGGTTAGTTTACAGCTGAGTTACAGTATTATACCAATCTCATTAGTTGACCTAACACTACTAAGCCAGCGCCATTCACGTTTTAGTAGATGTTTCTCTGCTTGCTTCAACTGCCTTATTTCCCCTTCCAAACGCTTGAAATTACGCTTAAAACAACGATATTATTTAAGATGATTCGATTGGCATTGGCACGCCGTCGTTGTTTGATCGTGAAATGGGAGTCGCGCTAATATTATGAATGTTAAAGAAATCTTTAAAACCTCGTAGAGAAAAATATAGCTTCCTTTCTTAATTTCTAATAAAGTCTGGTGATTGTCTTTGTCTTTGTAATTGTAATTAAGTTACTTGAAATTGAGAGTCGATGTTGGGGACTAGAATCCATTGTTGTCATTTCGTCTCGAAACAAAGATGTCTGCGAGAATTTCACAGTACTAGTCCAGAATTGAGTTATGCCTCAAAAATATCAAGGAGAATTAGCTACTTCTACGAAGAAAAGGAAGACGGAGAAGAAGTAGGTGTGAAAAATCCTCTGCAAGCAGGGTAAGCTCCACTTGACCTGAAGATGTTGTCGAGATGAAACATTATCTGTTACAATTAGTTTTTATACTCAACTTGTCTACCAAAATGTACTTTCTTCAAGTTCTTATGGAGTATCGATAATGAGACCAGACTTCATGCAAAGCGAAACAACAACAACAACAACAAAATTGCGAACTCCAGGTTATTTTGGATTGTTTTGATGATAAAGGATAGCTTACAAAATATGCTTAAACAGCATAATATTTGAAAASATCGAAATATCGCTATGACCAACAACTGATGCCAATATTAGAGTAAGTGAGATAACACAACTATAGAAGAGTGATAAGAATGGGAAAATAGAAGACAAAACAACATCCTTTTTCAAAGTTCAAAACTACTAAATCTTACAAAAACAGTTTTTGTTCAAGTCAGTAAATAGTATGTCGTTAAATTTCTTCTTTGACTAAAGTGTATAGAATGGAAAAGATAAAATTACAATAGCAATAAATGAATCATTATATCTTTTCAATTCAAACGTTTATTTATATCTTTCAAAGTTAATTCACCTTTCCTGAAGACAGCGATATCTTGATATGACAATCTCCAGTTACACGACATTTAGAAGACTTGGTTTTCAGTGAAAACCATTCATCGATACCGTCACAATGGATGTCCTAAAGAAAAAAAACATATTATCAAACTTAAACTTAAATCAAACTTAAATTTTGTAGCTTTTTGCAAATATTGATTACCCATTCACTACAATTATTATTTTTACGTCGGCAATTCTGCTCAGTCGCATTATTTTAAATCACTCGTTATTTACTCATTTATTATTGCTGAAAGTGACATTATATTCTTCGAACCTGCAAGGGTAATTCCAGATACCCCAGGAAATCGTCTGTACTTTCACTATCGCCAGCTCGAGCAGACTGAACCACATCTTTCAAATATCTTTTGACAAGACAAAAAGAAAGCAAGGTCATTGGTATCTTCACAATGAGAAAAAAAAAGTCAATATGAACATGACGGATTGACCAAGAAAATGAATCACATTACACGAGAAAACCTACCTTCCTACACCGTGAAAACCTCTGATTTTTGTAATTTTGTTGTCATGGTCGGTGAGTTTTTCCTTGTCATCACAATCCCTGTATTACAATAACATTATATATCTTTTATCTGTACAATAGTCTCGTCCTTCCCAGCCTATAYAGACTTTTGTCGGGCTTTCGTTCAAAAGCTGCGAAGGATTCTATCTGCTCGAGATCGTGTACTACAGACGGCTATCGTAACGCCTGAGTTTATAAGTATAAAAAAACATCACTATTTGTTGAAAGAACATATTATAATGAGTGAGATGGGAAAGTTTCGATGCTCTTACATTTAAGGACCAGAAATTACAGGTGTTTGGAAATACAAAGGTTTGAGTGAAAATCAGTTTCGAGGCCTTACCAGCCTTGTTTTCACGTTTTTGGTACGTTTTAAGTCCTTGTAGCTCTGCCGATATTTTACCATTTGAAACTAAAAATACGCCAATTCACTTGTTTAAATATCCTATTTCTTATCGTAGTGAGGAAAGAGTTTTAAAAGCATGGACCGTTTAAGGTTCGCAGAGTACATTAATTTTAATCCACTTACCAAATATCAATATGTAAGATGTCACTTGCGATATCATTGACTTCACTAMATAGAAACAAAAAAATCCATGTTCAGATTGACCCAAGGTGATTGGGAATGATATCCACCATTATATGAAATTTGGTAAATTTACAATATTCAACAAAAACACTATAATGTACAGTACTTACAAATTAAAAGTCTCATTCCATGATGGATTGACGGTGTTTTCTCTGACAGTTGTCATTTGTATTGATTCAGTTTTAAGAATTTCCTGCAATGTCTTGGAAAACTTTCGTTGTCTTACTTTACGTTTACTAGTAGTGTCTTCCACAGATCCTTGACTTTTTATTATTCCTATCATGCAGTAAGGATCACTAAAGCCATTGGCATCCTTAGCTTGAAGATTCCTTGCTTCAACAACTGTGGTTAATAAAAAACATATAAACTTCCGCACAAAAATGCCACGACTTTCCAGGTTTTTTAGACCTGTACAAACCCTGTCCACCTAACAGGACATAAAGACACAGAAATGAATGCAAAAAACTGTCACCATTATAAAGTAATATCAGTTGTATATGCCTTTAGCTGGGTTGATATAGTTACAATAACAGTAAGTGTTGAAAATACAACAATAATGAAATCACAAACAAACCTTGAACTTTGAGATAAAACTTCGGTGACTGAAAATCAAACCATTAAAGATCTGAATAAATATCAAGAATGGAACACAATAAACCATGGTTAATACAGTGCCGTAGATCATGTTTTACTCTGCATATAAATCCCTTTTCTGGCCAACTATAAAGCAAGAGAAATTCTTACAGAGTAGTAGACCTAATTGGCTAATGCATTGCCATAACTGTTTCCGCCCAATTCAAACCACTTAGGAGAAAGTTTCATTGTTCTTTGCATTTTCATTTCATTGTTGAATTCTTACAAACAGAAGTTATACTGTATTTCCCACAGGATTTGAATTGGGTGGAAACGTACATGGCAACACCGACTAGTAGGTCTATGATGTCTTTAAGTAATATTATATATTAACACCAATATTAGCAGGAGAACTGCATGAAGATAACAAATCACCAGATGAACCTTAAACAGATTACCTGCAAGTATTGTACTCATCAAATTCAAGATACAATATATTATATAAAAAAATATTGAGCATTATTTTGGGGGGTAAGCAATGACCTTTTAACAGTTTTAGACTGCACATGCAAGATTTTTAAAATACCTCTCTGTGTTTTGTCCTTTCATAAAGTTCACGATGTTTATCACCTGAAATCCCGAGAACCTTTAACACAAAAACAAATAAGGGAAAGAATAAAAAAAACTTGTTCTCGCCAACACTAGCAATTTGATGCTAAATTCACTGCTTTGTTCCGATCTAGGGATTTTTACTCAACTGCAAGAATTTAAAATAGATATGTCTCCCATGTAGAAAATGCAAGAGGTTATACACACAGGCCTAAACAATGTCTGTGACCCAATGTATGTAAGGCACCCACCCTGCGCTCCAATAAATTGAATACTTGACAGACAATTAATGTCACACTCTGGTATAGTTAGTGGCTTTTGCCTTTTAGCCTTTTAAAGCTATATTCACTATACGGGGACGTGCCGCCAACCAGGGCATTGTTTTCAGCGATTTTACTCTGGAACAGGGTGTCTATTTCAATGAATTTTCTCTGGAACAGGGTCAGGGTTTAATTACGGAATTATTGATGCTGGGTAAACATTCATGGGGTAAGAATTTGGTCTACACGCAAGCTAGTGCTGGATTTTACTCTCCCACCCAAATTGCGAGGGAATACAACCCCTCCCCCCTCCCCGGCTTTTAGCTCAGGGAGTATCAACAAGTGCTCAGAGAGGGAAGAAGAGAGCATGCCTGGGCTTAGCATGGTGAGTTTAGAGTAGCCTGTTTTGTACCTGTGCTTGTATGCAAAGAGAACTAATACACACTGTCATARTCAAGAGGCAAGATTATTACCTTTTGTAGATAAGCATGTAAATCATCATTGGACACTTGTTTCTCTTGGCCACCAATTTGATGCATGATGGTATAAACTGATTCACAATACAAAGCTTCTCGCTGGAAATGAAACAACACAAACTTCATGAAACAAAATGTGTCATAATCTTAGAATTTTTACGTCCTTGAAGTTTACTTGGTTGCTAGTTTCTGGCTGGTGTTCTGCACACCATCAGGGCACAATAGTCTTCTTCATGGTTCCCATTGCCAAAGATAACYTTTGCATCAAAACAAGACAACCTTGAGCATGTACATACAAAGACAGACATCTCAAAATAATTGTCTGTAGACTTGAAAGAAGGTTCTTGTCATTAATATACAGTCTTTTTAATTAAAATTATCTTGCATCAATGCATTAAGGTATCCATGGCTACATGTACCATTCAAGATGGCACAGGGAATATAAACGAGACTATTGAGAAAGAAATATAACAAAAAAGAGAAATGTTTGCAAATAGAGGGCAAAGAACTTAATTATTGCAAGTAAAATATATGCAATTGACCTGTTTATCTGATAATGATATTGTCTTTCCTTGAACCACTTCCTTACTGTCCCCATGACCTTCAGGTATATCATCCAAGTTACTTGGTTCTGGTAGGTCCTTYAATWTGTAATTTTCAAAGAATTAGTGAATCAAAATGAATTAATATTATATMTTATGTAAAGTCTACACATAGACACAAGTAATCAATTCCTATCATAACCATAGGCTGCCCAACTATTGCTTGAGACTGAGAGAAAAAAAATGAGCCCGCAATACAACACTCTGCATTTCACTATGAGTATAGTYGATTTTAGTCAAGTGTGGGCAACTCGTTCCTTTTCTTCTCTCAAGCAATAGTTGGGCAGCCTATGTTATAACAAACCTCAATCTGTGAGATGTGCACTGATTGTTCACTGACTCTTTTTATAGTTTTTCGCCAGTCAAGTGCAATGAGGCTTTCAAAATACCCACCATCGAGTTCCTCAGCTCTGGAAATAGCAATAACAATTCATCAAATATTACTTGGGAATGAAAGGTTGGTCTGTCTAGTCCTACATGTACCATCTAAATGCTATCTGTCATGTGAAGTTACACTGGACAGGCTGCATGGTTACTGTACTATTGCATTTGCTGATCTTCACTTCATTGGTTTTGCTTTTATTAYCTGGTGCTGCCTTACCCACCCACCAACCCTTCTCATTTGGACTGCATTCAAGTATAACAGTTCACTCTATCCATGTAAACAAAGTGTAACAAATGGTGAGGTTTACCAGYTACCTCCTGCTTGCCCTGCAAAAATTGCCTAATTGCTAACTTATTCACTAGTTCCCTAACACAGGTCATGGTTGTGTATTATCACCAYTTTTAAAATTTGTGTATTATTTGTACTCTTAAACATGAAATCCATCCATCTCAGCTACCGCATAAAAATGCCCCATCAAGTGAAAACCACAGTTTCCAAAAAATATTGACTAAATTAAAATTGTTRTTGATTCTACTGGATGTTTTTCAAGTCTCAGACACTTGTCACTTCCTGCATTTCACAAACCAAATCCATACAAAAACACATAACAAAATACACAAACAAAATACAACCCAAAACTGAAGTATAATTWTTTAAAGTTTACTGACTCAAAGTATGCTAAAAAAATCATTTAATTTTCTTTTCTTTCAAAATTTTAATTTGAAAACTAACATAATCTAGTTGTGATTATAATCAATATTTGAGCTTGATGATAGTATAGGCGCCAAATATATTTTGATGACATAATACATTTACACTGTGGTTGGAATTGACTCAATTTGATCAAAAATAAACAATGTGCATCAACAATTACAGTRATATTCTCAACAACAAAAATGAACCACATGTGTGACCATGAGACTAAAGGACCGATCTCACACCATTTGACTTCTGGATATTCTAAACTACACAATATTGTTACATTTTGTTACATGCTGTTACATGTATAATATTTTGCATATCAAATTTTACAGTGCTGGTTGTGTTTTAGACCTTAATAAATGGTGTCAAGCACCCCTACCATTTTTAAGGAGGATTGACAATAAAATTGCCAATAGGAGGTGATATCACCTCAATGCCTATGAAACATCACTTCTATAGTTAATGCAGACACAAGCAGACAACATTGCTAGTACAGCATTTCACGGAGAAACAACATAGCCTAGCTAATGATGTCATGATATAGCTTTGGCATTATAACAATATTTTTGTAAGTATTACTTATTTACAGATTTAAGTATTGTTTGTTTTTCTGCTCATGTGTAGTAAATAGATATATTGTACATCCGCAGTTGGCTGTAGTTCATGCCTCAGAAATTTAAACTGATTTTACAGAACAATAATAGAATATAATTCAAAGATGTTAGTAGTAATTCATTAAATGCTTAATTAATTAATTCATTGCCCCAACAGTTTGATAACTTTGGTTAATTGTTCCTAAAATAATTGCTGACTGTTTAATACAGTCATTCTGCAGATATTATTTTACTTTCTTAATTCTATTATGCACTAGCGTACTAAATGAATCAAAACGAAATACACCAGTACAGCAAAGATACAAACCGTTCATGTGGAGTCGAGCCTTGCAAATAACAAGTTGTGGATTCATTCGATAATTCATCAAGTAAGCTAGTAAACTTTCTATTATTTTGAAGTCGCCTTTTTCTGGCTTCGCCTTCAGTTTCACTATCCATAATTTGAGCTCTTAAACTGTTTCAGATGTTATGTTGTTATGTGCACTGGTGAAACCAATACTCTCTCTCTTGTTTATAAAAATAGTAAGCTCTTTTAAGTATGCAAATACAAGCGTTTGCCAATTTCAACTCCTCGGTCCAAAGGCTTCAAGCGCCAGACCGTTCAAGCACAGTATTAACTCACATCACTCTACGAATACTAGACGTACGATCAACTCTACCCAAGTATTACTTAACTCATGACCTTACCTTTGTCTACTGAAGCGTTTGTGGATAATTCTTGCCGCCTTCTCCATTTCCAGATCATGTTGCAAGCTCATAGACGAAATCCAATTGGGCTTCCTGTGGTCATAGGTCACAATCGTTGATCAGTCTGTCGTTCAGGCGGTGCCTGCTGTCGTTCATCGACGAACTGTTCGATGAAGTATACAAATTTTATCGATAWAAAAAWTTTCCCTGAATACAAATATTGATTTATTACTAGATTTTTATCAAACACAACCCCGAGCTCACGCAGCTTAATGCGTCTAGYTTTATGGTAAACTTACGGTGTTTAATTCATCTTAAATACTGCGATGAGCATGCGACCATAATCAGGATCATCTCTCAGATCTTGTTGCTCCCACACCCAGGAAGAACACCATTTGTAAGCGCTTATCAAGATCAGCCG